CATCCATGGATGTCTGTGTAGCTGTCTGTGGCTGTCTGTGGTTGTATGTGTGCTGTCTGTGCAGCTGTCTGTGGCTGTTTGTGGCTGTCTGTGGGTGTCTGTGTGCTGTCTGTGGGTGTCTGCAGGTGTCTGTGGGTGTCTTCATGTTTTACTATTACCCTTATTTGAAGCAACAGCATGGACGTGAATTGATCTTCAATGTTTTGCCTACGAGTTTTTGCCGTATCAGACTGAACTGTTCTACGTTGAACTATTTGAAGATTTGTTTTGGTCATTAAATCCAACACCGCTTGCAACAACTAGAGTGCAATAGCAGAATATTCGAAAATAATTGAAGTAATATTCTATTATAATGGAATTAAGCGTATACATCGGCACATTTTGTACGAGGATTAACTTCGAACTTATGATCAATGGCACACAGAGGAGAAGGAACAATAAAATGACAATGACAGAGAGTGGTCGAGCAACTGATAATTTACTTGATTGTCGACATTTTGGTTGTCTACAAGTGTATAGTTGCCTATTAATTGACGTTAATGTGACAAAGATGGGTGATCCTGCAGTGGCTGCCGTTATTATACAAAGCCGGAATTTACACCAGACAATATTCGTCAGCTGAATTTGGAATCCATCCGTCAAAGTTCTTGTCAGTAAACCAATGTACAATTGCATAAAATCGAAAATGGATGCCACGATTAGATATTGGGAACATGGTATTGAACAAAATGCTTTCTGCAGAAATAGAATGAGGCTCAAAATACTGCCGACATTTCCAACGAGAAATAAAAAGATCCTAATATAAATACTCAGATATGTTCCAATTGAGTCCAACAGTGCGATAGTCGACGATATTTGTTCAATCAACTTAAATATATTAGGCTATTGGCCTAGGTATATACTAGTGATCGGTTGTTGTTGTTGCTGCACTAAATTATTTCCTACTATGTGTGTCTTATATTCTGAGTGGCTCTTTCATTATTATTCTTAGTTTTCCGAGTAGTATTTACTGAAATAATAGGGATATAAATTAATTATATTTGATGGTTGCGGATAATCAATGAAAAATATCTAATAAATTTAAAGTTATGACCAGATATTAATTTTCTAGGTTACGAACAATCAAGAATTTTCAACGAATTTCGAAGCCAAATAGTTTTCTTAAGTATAATAAGAAAATTAGAGTACTGGTACGAGTAAGAGAATAAATACACATTTTCTGCCGAAACCAAGAGTGTGTTGAAGAAGATAATATCGATTTGAATTTTGGACTTGGAGTTTTGGAAAAAATGTATTTTTTAGTTAAGCAAGTTTGCATACCAGCTTTCAAATATACTTTTGCCAGGAGTGAGAAAAATTACTATTTCGTCTAAAATTGAAAAGATTTTCGAAAAACTTCACACTCAAATCCATCTTGAAACATGATTTTTTCTAAAAGTTTATTATTTATTCTCACCATCACTATAAATATTTCTCTCATACTAAATGTTTCTGTTGTATAACAGAATAACATAATGACAATTTACATATTCTGGCGTTCGCCTTGGTTCAAGAAAAAGCTTAAACCAGGGCTCAACATTTACACGATTACTTTTGCAGCATATGTCATTGCAAATAAATTAGGGAAAAAGTTTTCAGAGCAGTGCCAACGCAGCTAAACATGTAAATTTCTTATGTTTATATTCTAGCGTTTCGTTTTTCTCAAAATTGTTAATTTTGGTCAAAACATCGGTTTTGATATAAGCACATGGAAAGATAGCCTGCAGTGTCTCCTTTCGGAATCTGTATCGCTTTTGGTTACAAAAGTGGTTTTTCGCGAACTTTGAGCAAGTTTCGTAGGAGCCTCGAAAAACCGGATCTTCAAATAATAGCTTTTTCCAGGATACTAATGCAATTAAAATTTTTCTAAACCCGTAGATTTGTAGAGCAAACGTGTCTGATCAAAATAAGACTTTGCACAACTCTGTTTGACTTTGCATCAAAAAGTTACAAGCATTTTCCTAGAAGTTCTAAACTTGAGTAGTTCATACAGCGTTTTCTCCAAATAAGAGTTACACCTGAAGTATTCCCAAGATAAGTTCTATAGCGGTTTGTCATAGAGAGTTTATTCTTTTTTTATTTAAAAGAGGAAAAGAAACCACATCGTCTGACCTGCGTCGATTTTAGAAATAGGTCTTAGTTTTTTAACAAATTAAGGATTTTTAGAAAATCCGGAAGGCTTTTCCGGGTTTTGGAATTTGTTAGTTGTCTGGAAAACTAATAAAAGCTTAATTGAAAAATCGGCGCCGGTCAGACGATGTAGTTAGATGTCTAGTTTAAAACAAAACAAACTCGAACTCTCCAGCTTGTAGTAAAACATCTTGGGAAACACTTCAGGGTCCTTTGTGGACCTTGATCTCTAGAAAACTCCTGAACGGTAAGACTTGGAGACAAAAATTCTTTTCATTCCGTAACTCATTAAGCCAAATATTTATGGGAAGTTTCGTCAAGATCGGATGTACGGTGTCAGAGATAATGCAACGTTTCCCTATGCTTTCTCTCCTATACGAATATAAATTATTCAGGTATGAGGCATATGTAGATGTTGCTAACGACTGATTAGTACTAACTTTACTCAATACATGTACATGTGATGTGTACAAGTATTGGGTAAATTTTTCTAAGCACATCGAAGAGCACGATGAAAGGGCTGGATATCGATGCACTTGACAGGAGTATCAGGCCAGGGTATCTGAAATTTGTTAAGACATTATGCGAGAATGGTATATAAGAAGGACATGTTTTTTCGCGAACGATTGGCAAGAGACGCTCGACACGTTCGAATCGATTATTCGATTCTTTTGAATAAGCACAAAAATTACTATAACCACTACAGAAATTATCCGAGTCCATCAACGTCGTTCTTTATCAGATATTTTGGCTCCCATGCCTCGTACAAAGATCAAGCGCCTCAAGAAATAGAGCAACCATTTCTGATTAGAATGAAATATTTCCCAGTTCTGAATGATATTCTGATCAAGAGTTAGGAGAGTTTTGCTAGAAGCCCTAGAAGATATATTAGATACTGGCGTCACCATATCTCGAAAGCGACTTTCACCTTAACACCATTTCGTAGCACCAAGATTTCTAATTAAACGTCACAGAGAGCTCGGGAAGGTCTTAAATTGAAGTTAACACATGTAGCTAGCGGCTAATAGAGGCCGATTCGGCTTAGATTGGCTATTAAAAGAACATCCTTACCAGACTTAATGGGACTTTTGACACTGACCATTAATTTGAAAAGAGAAATATCAAAAATACGACTCTATTAGCCTTTGGCCACATGTGTTTCCGTCAACTTAAGACCAGTCCGAGCTCTCCACAACGTTTGGTTACTGAGAAATGTTGGAGCTACGAATAGTCCCTATTTTGGTCACTATTGTGGCGACATCTCACAAACCATGCGCGACAGAGACAAACAAAAACGTCGTTACCATACTTCCACTACAACAGCTCCAAAAAGTTTAGTCAAGCTCGGACTTATAGTTTGAGAGATAGGGTTCTGACGAAGGGGTACCTTAAAAGAAATATGAGAATGTATAGTAAAAAGAAAAATATCAGAATAAGGAAAAAGGCGAGAAAAGAAAAATAAGCTGAAACAAGGAAAAAGAAAAGTGTGGAAAAATAGAGAAGAAACCAGAGGCCGTTTCTCTTGTTTTTGTCATTGTCCAATTTTGTTTAAGTTTAACAATTGTTACCCGTTTTAAAAGGAATAATAAACTCTCTTCCTCAGAAATTGGAAATGATTACATCCATACAGATCTCCACAAGCCAAGCACTATTTTGATCCGTGCTTACGGTTCTAAATAACAGCTCATTTCCTGTTTTATTTAGAAAACCATTAAATATATAGAAAGTATTGTTAGATCATAAGTGCTCAAAGAATATTCGTTAGTATTTATGGTTGTCTGTCAATTATATTAAAAACTAGTTATATAATTTATAGAAAGAACATCAAAGTATTTATCATTCTGTCATTTAGTCACATGAACTTCTCAAGTATTTATATAATCTTCTCATTTATTATATTTCATCAGGTAGACAAAGCATAACTCTATATATTTCGATCTCCTCTTTCTCTATCTGTTAACTAGCCAGTCACACTATATTAATTTTTTTTTCTTCATATTTTCATTCATTTAGAGTACATTCTCGTTCTTTATATATTAATGTGTCTTCAGGATATAAAAGAACTTCCGTTAGAAAGTTTCCTTTTTATTTCCTTTTTTCTTCTTAATGTCGAACTAAAATATACTCTTGCATGATCAGTAGTACCGTACTCACTATCGCACATCGTCAAGAAGAAAATGTCAATGAGATAGAAAACGTGCTAATCGAGCCTTCTAATCCTCTAACGAAGATAGAAACACGACGAGATCTAGCGTTACCAAACATGAAAGATGTTTGTTCTGTCTTGAAGTCATTGACATAAACATCTTTTGAAGTAAAGAGGCATTCCCAGTCTTTCAAAAGTTGCAAATAACATTGAATGCCACACACTGTCGAATGCTGACATAAAATCGATAAAAAGGCAAAGTGTAGGTCGGTTATTAGCAGCAATCGTTAGCCTCAAACCAACGGGACGACAGTTTCAAATAATCAAAAATATTTTTTCAAATTTTCACATGAATATCCTGTCTTCTAGATTAAAAAAATGAACACAAATATTACATCAACAACAACAATAGTCAATCTTGTTGATCAATTGGATATTATTCGTCAGTATATTGCCATTTGGTTTGGTTTATTTCTAGTTATTTTTGGTAATATTGGTAATTTACTATTAATTACCTTATTTTTCAGTGATACATTGTTGAGAGTTAATCCGTGTTCTCGATATATTTTATCATCATCAATATGTGATTTGGTTCAATTGAATAGTACATTAGTTATTGGTATTTTGGCTGATGGTTTTAATCATGATTTAACAATTAGATTTAGTTTGTGTTGTAAATTACGAAATTATTTTGATCAATTATCATCAACAACTACGTTGACATTTATTCTCCTGGCTACTATTGAACGTTATCTTCTGACGTCATCGAAACATCATTCTTGTCGACTTAAGCATCTTCTCACCAAAACACGTCCCATTAGCTTAGTAACCGTTGCCATCTGGTCGTTAATTTCCATTCCGAATCTAATTGAACATTCAAAAACTAGACAATGTCAGCTAACACGTTCTGTTACCCATGCTTTCATAGGCTTGATCTGTCTGAGCTTTCTTCCAATTTTATTAATGTTCATTTTTGGTGTATTAACATTAAATAATTTGAGAAAATTAGGAAAACATGCTCAAATTATGCGTGCCGAACAAATCTATAAACGTCTTTTGCATATTGATAAACAATTGACGATTTTATTATTAATTCAAATTAGTATTATTAGTTTAGCAACACTTCCATTTATGACGTCGTATACATACATTATCATTTTCCGACATAGATTTCGATCGTCATCATGGCGTGCATGGGAGAGTCTGATTCTCTTAATTATTCGTTTTATACACTACTTACATAATTGTATTGATTTTTATATTTATATGCTCGTATCATCCATGTTTCGACATCATTTTATAAAATTAATGAAGAGATATTATTGGTATTGGTCTAAAGGTTGTTGTGGACGTGGAAATAGAAGAAAAAGATCATTGATGAGACGGCATAGTAATGAAGAAATAACAAAAAAATGTATTTTTAAACAACCTATTAGTCAAAAACATAGCGTATTGATTATTTATTAGAAAATAAAGGAAAGAGATTGCTTTTAAGTAATCTAAAACTATACCAGTTCTCGGTCATGAACTGGGAAGAACCGCCAATTTGGGAATCGAGAAAGTTTTACTGCAACCATGGTTCGGATTTTCTGAAAAGGAAATGAACATCGCACTGAAATACAAATGGAATCTGCAGTTTTTCTTGGAGAACTACGCATACTGTTACACTGCGCATTAACCTAAGGATTTCAAGCTTTTGAGTAAATCGTTTAGACAACTGAAGTGGAATATAAATGTCTTCATAGAATTCAATGAGTACTCTTTTTATGCTGTTTTAAAAGTGTGCAATTAAAATGCAACATATAGAAGCACATTTCTAAGTGACCAAAAGTGTTCCATACAGTTCCATTATATTTATTTTATTTGTACACTTTTATAAATGTGATGAAAACCTATACTATTGAAAGAAAAAATAACAGAAGTGCTTTTGAAGGTTAAAACAACCGATACTGTTTAATAGATTTTAAATAAAACTTTTTACTTCTTTTTTTGTTTTGATATTAACGGGTGGAGCCAGAAATAATGACATACTTTTGTTCTCTTTTCTTCCGAGCACAATTGAGATTCGAAGATTCCATTCTAAACTCATTCAATAGACAATTTTCTGCTCTATAAAATCCATTATCTTCTTTCATCATATATTATTTCGTTTATTTTAAAAACTAGTGTAGAGTAGGGATAGATAGGAAGAATAGCTGCGACGGAAGGAACAGGTTATAATTATTTTTGTGCTTGATCTAATTGATTATTTAATAACGTTTCTGTTAGCTATTCATCTCGAGTACTTTGCGTAAAGAAAAATCATCTTTATTTAATTAATCCGCATTGAGAAATAAACGTAAACTTCCTTACAGTTTGCCACTAAGATAATAATGAAATGATGGAGTTATTCATGTATCTATTTTTATCTATATCTCGTATGGTTCCAAGACTTCGTTCTGACTTTAAAAGACAGAAAATTTTCTGCTCTACAAAACCCCGTTAACGCACACTTTCACTGCATTGTTTGGCTAGTCCTTTTCCTGCTGTTTTCAAAATCCCACATTATCCGAAAGTACAGATTACGCGCTAAAAGCTTCACAATTTGGGTAACCAAACGAATAAGCAGCGTGGTCGGGATTAGGACTGTAAAAATCCCCGTTACTTCTTCGGCCTTTATCGGCAATGGTAACTAGAAAAACAGTTACCGTTAAACCAACGGTAACTGATAAGTTGGTTACCATTATTTTAACGGTAACTGGAAAGGTAATTATCGTTAAAGTGTAATAATAACTGTCTTTTCAATTATTGTCAGTTAGTTAACTTTAGAGTAACTCTTTCTTTCTCCCTATTATTCTGCATTTCTTATAATCATATTTTGAAAATTAAGTTTATGGAAATAATCATAGATACTAAGTTTATATTGTTCGTCACTCTCAGTGGGTCAAACATAATAATGTTTCTAGAGTTTTACTGTACTTAAGAATACTTTCTTTCAAGAAATTGTTTGATTGTTATGTGTTTAACTAGAAGGTTTTTAACACATGTATTGGATGGAAGGTAAAACACGCAGACTTTTAGTCCATGTTCTTGTTGAGATATAAGCCATTAGTTTAGATAAATGTATCGTAGAAGGCTAACTTCTTTTTCTCTTTCGCTCGACATAGTCACAAGAAAGAGTACAAAAACGACGAGACGAATGCCGTAGTAAACACATTATCCGACGACACAACTTATTTTCCTTACATAATTCGTGTGCGATTGGTTTTTTTCTTTTCTTATGTAGCACATAGTCATATTTCACATACGTACGTCTGTCTGAAAGTGAAGTCAGCATAATTCAGATTATCTACATCATGGTTTGTAACACAAGATCCTGATCGGTTGTAAACATATCAGCGCTATTGACTCCATCGATTCAAAAAAGATTCGTATCAACCAGTAGACATACGAAACCTCGTTCAGCATCTATTCCAGTTATTCAGTTGCCTAGTGAGGCAGCTTTCTCAATTGCGAATTATCTTCAACGAGAAACCAGATGCTCATTAATGTCAAAAACACTAAAAATTTGTATGTTTTTGAAAGGCAAAGTTTAGTATATGATTTTAGTGATTCTGTACATACGAACGCTTACTTCTAGCCTCCCGCTGTGTGGCGTGTGATAAAGATCTATCGATTTATTGTACCACTGTTAGTCAATTTGGCACGTTCAATACTTACTCCGTTTATATAAAGGAAGTTGGATGGAAATAGAGTACAATATAAATTATCATTTACAGAAATATCACTCACATACACTACTTGTTGTTCTAAAAGTGCATTGTTCTTTCTTTTTCGTTTGTTCCATTTATCTTTTGCTGCAATGGCTGTCTACGAGCCATTGCACGAGAAAACCGACTATTTGCCGTCAGACCGTGCTCAATTTTAATCTCAGATTCGGTTCTAATTGTTTCTATATGCTGCCCGCCTGCGAAAAATCTAAACGAAAAATAAATATAAAAATTCTGTGTCTCTGATCTGCTCTTGCACAGACGAACAATTCTCATTATGTCATTGATTGTATTCCTCTACTTACACTAGTCGACGTTCTGAAGCCTATTCCTCTCTGAATCCGACTTTGTATTGTTTCTACTAGTCCTAGGCATCTGTATTTCTGAGAGGAAATTTTAGAAGTTTTCGTATAGGTCACTAGTGTCAGGAGTGCAGGTACGTTCAAACGAGTCAATATATAATGCGTTTTAAGGCACCAAACCGGAGAAAAGCGACAGCAAAACGAATCGAAAAGTAAAGCGCTAACCGTGTCAAGATCTGCCCCGTTTCTAAACGTTAATGGTAAGCGAACGGGTTAGTCTGCGTTAAATTTTACGGCGTTCGAACACATTTCACTTCTCTAACGCGTTCAATGAGTGCTAAAACTCGTCATAACGCCTCAGGTGCATACGAGTTAATAGATGCGTTAGCTCACAGATAAATGTTGGCCTGAGAAGTTGTACTCTAAAGCCCTGGAGCATTTGTGCTGGATATTAAAGACTTATTCGTCCAGATGTCAGACGTCTGCACGCTTTATCCGCTGTCCTGTTTGTGTTCTAAAGAAAGGATTTCGGATTTTGCACGCCAGTTTGAACACAATAAGCAAAAGTGAACCATGAATATAGTTCTCAACTGCGGAAAATTTAAAAAAAAATAAATTTACACGTAGTCGAATTCAGCACGAAATTCTGTAACGAATGAAATTAATTTCGACTAATACCGAAAATCTTGTTACAGAGTTGTATAGCTTTTGAAATATTGTCTTTTTTACACGTAAAACAGACTCACATTTTTTTAGCTATCTTTCTTGTAGAAAGAAACGGGATACATTTAGTTTTATCGCGATTTTTTTTATCGCAAATGTGTTTTGCATTAATTCACATCAATGATACAACGTAAAGAATATATTTTTTCTTTCTTGCTTTCCTTTTTCAGTATCGAATGCACAACCGTTCTGTATTTTTGGACTTTTTCTTTTTCAACTGCTACAATAAACAATCTTTTCGATTGTTGAATGAAAAATTGTTTCATTCCTTGCACTTGGAAAAAGTCAACTTTCGCTTTATGACATTTTTAAACAACAAATAGTCATTTTTAAAACAAAACAAGGTAGACGACAGCAGATTGCACCCAGATAAGTCACATCGTTTAAAAAGATAATGTTACAGAATATAATTACGATTTGGCTAGATCGAGCTGATAAAACTGATAGTGCACTTCATCTCTTACTATGCAAAATTGATCCATATGTAGTTACATTTCGTGACACAGACAGATGCATTGATTATATTACTGATTTAAAGGAAGACGAAATTAAAACGGTTTTAATAATTTCCAGCGGCACTGCATCTTTGACTCCAGATACACTTCTTCAACTTAGTGAAGAACTTTTACAAATTGTTTCAATCTACATTTTATCTTCTAATGACACAAATATTGAAACGCTTGAACTGTCGGAAAAAGTGTAAGGTCTTTACACGGATTCGAAATTATTGTGCGATCAGCTGTGCCAACTACCATACTTAAGGCGGAAACGTGGTGAACAATTTTTGCGTACAGATTTTTCTATTACCTCATTGCCGCTCCCAGCCGATCCATGTAGTCTGACCACGGCTACTATCACCACTGAACCATTATCGGTTTCTAGGAAACGACAGGAAGCCGAATTTATGTATGCGCGGTTTTTACGAGACATTCTGATTGAAATTGAATCATCAGAAGAGGAAATGGTTAAATTCTGTCTTCAGAAATGTGCTGCTAATCAAGCAGACTTAAAGATTGTCGAAGAATTTGAATTATATTATGATGCGTGTAATGCGATCTTCTGGTACACACGTCCTACATTTCTCTATCGTTTATTAAACAAAGCACTGAGAGAACAAGATATCGATACTCTCTATGCATTCCGATACTTCATTAGAGATCTTCATTTACAGCTAAAAGAACGACATGGCTTACACCAGCCGATATTGGCGGAAGCAGCAACTACTGCATGTCCTCTTACCAGTATCGTCACTACGAATAACTTAGTCGTCGAAATAACAGAAACTGTTTATCGAGGACAGCTAATGGATAACAACGAATTCAATAGAAAAATTCAAGATAATGTGGGTGGCTTTTTCTCTGTAAGCAGTTTTCTCTCAACAACTCATGATAGGGAATTGGCTAGTTTTTACGCTGGAGATGGCAGCAATTATGTATCACAAAGTGTTCTGTTCCAAATTGACATCGACACAAATGTAAACAAATTTCCCTATGCAAATATTTCGACAGAAAGCGCGTTTGACCAGGAGGAAAGTGAAATTTTGAAAGTGAAATTCTTTCGAATACAGTCGGTTGATAGGTGCGAAAAGGGCGTATGGAATGTACAGTTGAAACTAACTGGTGACGAAGATGAACAGCTAAATATACTAAGACAACATATGAGGATGAATTTTATCTTTAGATCTCCTCTTGGAAATCTGGCAAATTTGATGCTAGAAATGGCGAATTACGAAAAAGCTCAGCAGTACTATCTTTTGTTACTCGAAGATGCGACAGCGAGAAACGATCACAGGACACTCGCTATTGTGTATAATAATCTTGGCTTCTTATGTGATCAATTTCATGAACAAGCAAAAGCAACAGAATACCAACAAAAGTCACTTCTAATTAACCTAAAATATTTGCCTGTAACAGATCCATCTTTAGCAATTACTTATAATAATTTAGGAGAAACGTATCGCAACAATGGTGACTACGAAACTGCATTAACATATTATGAGAAAGCGTTAGAAATCGATATGCATTCACCTGGACCAGATGAAGAGCTTCGTGCAATTTGCTTCAATAACATTGGAATGGTCTACCATGCCCAAAAACGTTATTCAGACGCGATAGAGATGTATGAAAAATGTCTTGACATTGAACTAAAAATCCTTCCGACAAACCATCCATCACTTGCTACAACATACAATAACATATCACAAATTTATAGAAGTCAAGGTAACTACGAGAAAACGATAGAATATTTGCAGCGGACACTTGAAATTCAACGACATTCACTCCCATCAAGTCATATTTTAATAGCCAATGTCTATAATAACTTATCTCTAGCTTACTATCGACAAAGAGATTTTAGAAACGCTTTAGACAATATGAAAAAAGCATTTGACACTTACAAAACCACTTTTTCATTAGATCATCCGCAAGTTACGAGAATGTTAGAATATATACGTTACTTTGCAATGGAATTGGGAAAATGGCCTGATGAAGACGGCGACGATGATAATATTAAGGAAAATTCGAATAACCAAACTAACAAGTCACATAAAAGTTGATTTGCTAGTCTTTCGAAGAAGAACAAAACCAATATTGTTCTTGTCCGTAGTTGTGACTTCTGGAATACAAGTATTTACTGTTCGAGTTCTGCTGTCTCACACATTTTCTATAAGCTCTTTTTGATATAATGCTATCAGGTCAGACCGCTAAAATCTATCATTCGTTCAATAGTAGAGCGTTTCACAAGTGTGAGATTTTTATTTCAAAATGAAAGTTAAGCAAAAGAAACACTTACATTTTATCTCAAATTCATAATATCATGCTACTCTATCCATAGACTCAAACGCTTTCAAATGAGTCATCAGATTCATCTGATTTCTTACGCATCCGTTCTTCAACATCAATTTCTCCTCGACGTCGTTGTTTCTTACGATATAAATATGCACCAAATATGATCGTTTCAATGACAATTAATGCAATAATAAGCGTACCACCAATGATATAGATCATTCTTATCTTATCATCATCAGTGTCATTTTTCGATGTCACCATACTCTCAATACCGTTGACAAGGGTTACAGATCCGCGCTGTTTCTCTGCTGACAACGAGAAACTATCTTTGATACCACTGTCAGTTCCATATGTACCCTCTTCTTCTGGGGAGATCGAGGAAATTACACCAACACCACTGTCAGTAATACTATTCTTAAGTGTGAAGGGTGCAACTGTTCTGGGAGTACTAATACGAAATAGACGCATCCCAATAGCAACTGCGACAGCAATTACGACTACAAAGATTAAGAACATACCATCGACACGTTTTTTACTGCCTTAAGACCGACCTGTTAATGGTGAGTAATACAATTTCTAGTAAGTAGCAGATGGAATGCGTTGAAAAGCTTTTGATATATTGAAAGCGAAACAGCGACGGCTGAGATTAATTTTGAACACAGGCCAAAAGAAATTCACATCCTAGCACACCGATCCTTTTACCGTGAACACATACTGCATTCTACCCAAGCAAAAACGACCCAATTTTTTGGGTTATTTATCTAGGTTCAGCTCCACGTACATCTAGATGCACGTGGACCTGAATCTAGATAAATAACCCAAAAAATTGGGTCGTTTTTGCTTGGGTATGGACACAGTTTGAAAGTTTG